ACACCAATTTGTTTCTTACTTGTGCTTTGTTTTTAAGTTCTTGTTTTTATTACACTGGAGTTTGCACAATAAGAGTTTGCTTACATTGTGATTACTTCATGTAGCGTTTTGTGGAGACATTAGTCAAACTTTATTGTACTCAAAGTCTTCAGTGTTGTACTCCTGACAGAAGAATCAGCCACTATAAACTTATAAAAAGCACAAATGCAATAAATAAATACTGTGAAACCACCAGAATCTTAAAAAAACATTGGGATACAATTTTTCGGTCATACTGCCCAGAATTACCTTTAAGGATGTTATTTTACAAACAATTTTCCAGCAGCTGAAGACAAAAAACTGAGTACAATTCTAGTGAATGTACAGCATATTTACTTTGTCTAAAAAAGTGAGGAAACCTTAACAGATTGAAATGTGACTCTTTTCTAAATGCCTATCAACATGTTTAACCAATAGCATAACATTTAACTCAGCTGTTAGACATTGGACCCAGTTCCACCATAAGAACATAAGGTTTGTGCAAACTTCAGATCCAAATAAGAGTTTTCTTGATCTAGTATTTTTGGGAAATCTATCCATTAATTCCTGGAGCCTTTGTTTAAATGCTTTGATGTGCATTTTCATCCAATTACTATTCAAGCCAACTGACTTGAAGGAAGGAAAATTAAAGAGGACCACCTCAAACCCTGTAAAGTTATAACCACAGTAACAGCTCCAGTACTGAAACAGCAGTTTGCCCCCTTTCTATCCACAATAAGCAGTTTGGAGTTGAGCCATTGCGAAGACTCTGAGGAGGGGGGATTAATACTTCTTGTAAAGTTTTAAGGTTCACAGCATTGTGGGTGTAGCTTAGTGCTTTTCCACATTTGAAGCCAATCATTTTGTAGATTTGTTCACATGTTCAGAGTGTAGCAGGTGTACTAGAGATAACTCAATCCCAATGATCTCACTACAAAACCTTAACATTAACACAGCAGTTCATGTTTCTGAAAACACCATTTATTTCAGGTTTCTGTTCATAACATCTGAAACTCATTTACTAGAGATTTGCACAAATGACTTAATGAATCAAAAGGGGAATAAAGTCTAAACACCCTGTGTAGATTTAATCTGACATCAATCATATCCTCTGTCTTTAGCCATCACTGGCCAGACAATAAGGCTTATAAAGATCAAGAGACAAGACTGAAACTCCTTTATAACATCACATTTATTAACCAAAAATGTGTCTTTTAGGATGAGCTGGAGGCGGCCACTGCAGCGCGTCTGGGTTTGGGGGTGGTGCCTTCCCGGAAACCATTCCTGGAAAAGTAAAAATAAAAATAAGTGAGGTTGATGCAGACAAATACCTTGTAATTTACAGGTAAATCCAGATGAAAGACAAGTCACTGTGTATTTGTCATTCCGCAAAAAGCTACCAGTTTCCTGTGTGCTGCCAGTAGTTGCAGGCTGGTCAGCTGACTAGCCTGGTAACTGGATACAATCACTGCAGCTGTTAAGAGCTGATGAATAATTCTTAACTATAAATGTTTATTACTCCCTGTTTAGTCAGAGAGATAAACAAGAAGTCTGTGGCACCAATGATGAAACCATGACATTTAAAAAAAGGATGCTAGTCTTTGTGGTAAGCAAACAAAAACGGGCATTTCTGTAAAAATGTCATTTTCAATTGGCACGCAATCTAAGTAAAAGGACATTTTGACTTGTAAAATCAGGTTCAACGTTAAAGAAGGTTCAGTTAAACGCAAGTTAGCCTCCATACACAATACCAGGATTGTGAATTGGCTAAACGAACAGTCACG